CAGGAATGCTCATCCAGATAGGAACCTGGTCTCGCTTTCAGGAAAGACACCAGGCTGTTGGGATGTGGTGGTTCACTTGTGCAGTTCCTAATGTTCTCTTGTGAACTTCGGAACAACTTTAGATCCCATGACCACCAGTGTGCAGGTAGGCGTCAGTGGTCCAGGCAAGTGGGGGTACAGGCTGGGAGCACCCATAGGTTGCGGAGGGCACAGAACACGTATGTTGTGTGGCCTAGACAAAGCCTTTTTGCTACACTGTTAAGCATTGCCTGTCCTATATGTGACAGAAGAAAAAGAAGTCACTGCAGCACTGTGTGTGCATCCTCTTTGGGAAGATCATGAGAAACTGATATTTGTTACTGCAGAGTGGGTTTATTGACTAAACTGATGAACTTTGCGTAATACCAAGAAGTTTCTGCATATGCTGAATATCAGAATGATGAGTTTCCAGGATCCTGCTATTTAAAAATTTATGCACTTTGTGAGTTTAGAGGTCTTGAGTACTAATCCCTCAGCAGAGGCTTTTGGGTTTGCAGTTTTAGATTTGGGCTCCAAACCTAGGTTTACAGCCTATTTTAGGAACCAATTATTTGTGTAAACGTGGCTCTTCTTCTTTGTGCAACCCTTTCTCTCGAAGAACAATTTGATATTTAATTCTTTTCAAACCAGTGACGTTTTCTTCATAAAGAACTGGATTACTCCAAAAAACACTGTGTCATTTTCTGTTTGCTAGAGAATGTTCTCTTCTTGGTACAAGTAGACAAACCTAATGTTTTGTTTTGTTTTTAAATGAAGACTATAATATGGTTTCAGTGCTTTCATTATATTCCTCTAGTGTACACTCGATTTTTATTTTAAACTTTGTAACCCTTATGCTTGACATTACAAAGCACAATTTCTGTGTTTGATGTTTTCTTCAATCATTTCTAAGACTCATGGTCCAATTGCAGCTGCTGGGATCTTCCATACCTCTCCTGATCAGTTGGTCATTTGTCTCTTAAAACTAAAATTTTCTTATAGATTGCTTATGGTTTGGGGTTTGGTTTCTCTGATGGGGTAAAGGGGGGAGGGAGAGAGGAACTGAGTTTAAATAGTGTCTTTTAAAAATATTGTGGGCACATGACTTTTAGACAAAACAAACCTGTATTACATGTTGAGCTTTCTCAGTGCAGAACACACTCAACCCAGTGAAAATGGACCCACTTGGCTTCACTCTGGTGGTGCAGTTAATTTCCTTAAAATCAGAAGACCTGCTTTTTATGGAAATGTGCATGTGCAAGTATGTGTCAGATGAGGGTCTTAATTGACATAATAGCTGTTTTTAAATGTATTTATTTAGTCTGATTTTAGTGTTACATGTAAGACTCCTCCACAGTGGTTACACTACTAAGCATGATGAAAACAGGGTAGAAGATGCTTTTCTGTGGACTCAGATATGACCTGAGTAGTTGTTGTTAATCTCAGAAGTCTTTAGAACTTCTAAGTGAATAATTTGTTTTGTAGGGTGAAATGGGCGCAAAAGGACAGGATGGTGTTGCTGGTCTTCCTGGCGAAAAGGTATGTTCATGTATACTGAAGTGTAATTTAACTCATGGGAAGTATTCATTACATCAGTGTTTTATCTGTAATTATGTGCAGAAATGGGAAGACGGAACACTTTGGTTGGAAAATGAACTTCTCTTACCTGCTCTGCCATGTTTTTGTAGCACACTGAAAAAGCCACTCAGACCAATAGTATTCTCTGCTGATGTGCTTGTTTGGTTTGGGTTTTTTTCCCTAGAATAGAGGGCCATAGAGAACCAAAGGAAGCCACTTGTTCCACTGTGCAGTGTGTGGTCTGCAAGCCTAGAAGAGAGATCTTAGGCTCTCAACAGGCCACTTGGTAGACCTTTGAGATAACCACTGACCTCTAAGCAAAGACTTGGGAATAGCCATGGCTAAGAAAGTGTGTCAGCCTACCCATGTATTCAAGAGGATAAGTTTCACTTCCTTTCAGGATCTTAGCATGTGAATTAAGGCAGTTGTACGTGTTTATTGAGTTCAGAGCTAGTTACCTGTATTAGAGGAAGCCTACTAGTCTAATATCCAGCATCTTCAGTATAGAAGACAGCCCTCGTAACACTGAGGAAACAGCATGTTGCTTGAGTTTCTAATCATTTGGCCTCTTGTGATTTTTTTCTGTTCCATAGTAACAGTTGAAATAATAGTGGATTTTCTGCATACACATGGAAGCCAGTTAATATATATTAAACAAATTAAACTCTCCAGATACATGTGTTGGTGCAGTTCACTGATTTTTTTTTTTTTAATTATTATTTTACTGATACCTTTAGCATAACAATTTAAGTCCTCAGCCCTCAATTCTGTCAATTTAGGTTCTTTTTCATCATGTATGCCAAATTTCTGTTCTTTCAGTGCCATAAACAAGTATGCCTTTTAAAGGCAGTTGTTGCCGTTAGAGGCTCAGAATTTCAATATTGCGCTTTATTGGTTGACATGCTATTTTCATTTCTATACAACATTTTAGTAATGGCAGGGGTTTTGGTTTATTTTGTAATTATCCAGATTTCTAAGTACTCAAAGAAGTAGAGTTTCACTTCAACTATCAGGTTTAAAATCTGTAATTAACAGGATATAGAATTATGAAACTGACTCTTATTTTTACTTACTATTTGTGTCTCAAATAGTGTTTTGTTAAAAATGGGAGGTAGGTATATAATATTACCAAAGAGATGAGTTAAAATAACAATATTTGCTGCTGATGCTAAGTTATATGTAGTAGAAAAATGGAGAGCAGGCTGCAAAGAGGTTCAAAGGGCTTTGCAGTGTTGAGGAACTGGATCGTGAAGTGGTATGTAAAACTCAGAGAAAGTAATAATGAAGTGATGCAGATGAAGAGGAAAAACAAAGAAAACGTTATGTATTAATAACCTTATATGTGATACTGTTCAGAAAAGTGATCTTGGAATTACAGATGATTGAAAACATACACTCACTGTTAAGTACTAGTCAAACAAATGGAATTTAGGAATGATTAGGAAAAGAATAGGGAACAAAGCAAAAGCATCTTAATGTCACTATTATTAATGAAACCGTATTGTGCCATATCTTGATTGGTGTATACGGTTCTGGTTCCCACATCTCAAAGTGGATCTAATATTACTGGAAAAGGTTCAGAGGAGGTGTCAAGAGTGGTCAAGAGCATTGAGCATCTTCTGATGTAACAATGTGGACTTGAACTTGAAAAAGGCACAACTGAGATGAAATGTGGCCCCTTCTGTACTCTATACGATCATGAATGGAACAGAACAGATTAATAGGGATTTATTTATTTATTTTACTCTCCTTTTCAGCGTGCAAACTAGAGCATCAAGCCTATCTGATAGCAATTCCGAAAAGGATAGAAAGGTCTCATTCTTCCTATTCAGTGATTATAGTTTAAACACTCTGCCACAGCATTTAAATAGTCTGAAAATTTATTAGAAAGTTGATGGAATGAAAATCCATGGAGTGTGCCAGACAGACCCTGCTGCTCATCTGAAAGTTTTTGAGTTCCCAAGATGCTGAACTCTGGGAAACCCCCTGGAGAAGTCTTTTATGATTGCCCTGTTGTTATACTTTTCTGTAGGCATCTTTTGTTGCCACAACTGTAGTCATATACTTGACTAGAGAAACCTTTCATTTGATCCAGCTAGACAGTTTTTACTTTACTGTGCTCCCAGATGTGAATTAGTGGAAGGAGTTATTGTAAAACATTGTAGATTGAATGAGATTGATCTAGAATGAAGCTGTGTTTTCCCTTGGCTCTTTCTGTAGCTCCTTCTCTGATGTTATCTTTCTTTAAAATTACCAAGCTACATTGCTTTTCCAGTACAAGTTATTATTACAGTTTCCATGGTTAATACTGTTTGGGTTTTCTTTTGCTTAGTGCCTTGCAGATTCACTGTCAGGCCAAAATCCCAAAGCTCCTGTTAGTTTACGTAAGGCTCAACAGTCAGATCATAGTTAATATCAAGGCACTGTACTTTTCCTGAACATTATAACTCTTTTAGTTCAGACTACATAAAAGCCATACCATTATTGCAAATTAAAAATGAACTACCATGGAATCTGAAACTGGCAAAACCAAAACCTATTTTTTTTTTAATAAAAAAAAAGCAAAAAAAGTATTTTGGTAAACGCATAGCTAAATGAAGAAACTGAGATTCAGCCACCCAGCTTCTGCTAGCTGGAGTTGTCATATCTATGCAGAGTAGTACTTTGCTGTGTGGAATTAGCTCCTTTCTGGAGGTAGAATCACTTTATTTTCCTCATGTTGTGAATGGTGTTAACATGCTCTGTCTCTCAGTTGATGCATCAAGAGCTATGTAAATTTGTGTGCGTCTGTTAATTTTGTGCTCCTTTTTTCTGGGATGTTCTAGATGCTAAAAATGTATGTAGATTCAAAGACAACTGGACAAAGTAAAGGAAAAAAAAATACTCTAGGCACTGTTATATACAAAGGCATCTCCTATGTTTCAGGAAGTTGAAGTGCAGACTGTGCAGTGCTGGGAGAGCATTCTCAGGAGCTACTGCTGTTTGTTTATCCTCTTAAACCCTTCAGTATGCATTATCTTTTGTTGGAGATATTTGTTTGACTGGTATGGCTATTTTTATGGTTTTTTGCACTGTATTTTTCTGAGCTTTGTGCAGATGTGCCCCCTGAGTCACTAGTTAGAAATAGAAAAAAGAAACGATACAATTATTTTTTATGTAAATACAGTTTGAGGCTTCAGAGAGCAGAAGGGCTCTTTCTGACACACCCAAAAACTCTCCACTGCAATACTGCATTGTTCATACTTCTTTTCCTGTGGAAAGGTTCAGAGAATAACTGGCGGATTAAGTTGCTAAGCCACTGTCCATCCTAAATGACAAGTCATGGCACTCTGGTGAAGTTCCCACTGACTGGAAAAGGGGAAACATAACCCCTATTTTTAAAAAAGGGGAAAAAAGGAAGACTCTGATAACTACAGGCCAGTCAGTCTCACCTCTGTGCCCAGCAAGATCATGGAGCAGATCCTCCTGGAAACTGTGCTAAGGCACATGGAAGATAAGGAGGTGTTTGGTGACAGCCAGCATAGCTTCACTAAGGACAAATCATACCTGACAAATTTGGTGGCCTTCTGTGATGGGGTTACAGCGTTGGTGGATAAGGGAAGAGCAACTGACATCATTTACCTGGACTTGTGCAAGGCATTTGACACTGTCCCATACAAAATCCTTGTCTCTAAATTGGAGAGACATGGATTTGATAGATGGACCATTCAGTGGATAAGGAATTGGCTAGATGGTTGCAGTCAAAGAGTTGCTGTCAATGGCTCGATGTCCAAGTGGAGACCAGTGATGAATGGCATTCCTCAGGGGTCAGTATTGGGACTGCCACTGTATAGCATCTTTGCTGGCAACACAGACAGTGGGATGGAGTGCACCCTCAGCAAGTTTGCTGACAATGCCAAGCTGTGTGGTGTGGTTGACACACCGGAGGGAAGGGATGCCATCCAGAGAGACCTGAACAAGCTTGAGAGGTGGGCCTATGCGAACCTCATGAAGTTCAACAAGGCCAAGTGCAAGGTTCTGCACCTGGGTAGGGGCATTCCCAAGCACAAATACAGACCCAGCAGAGAACGGATTGTGAGCAGCCCTGAGGAGAAGGACCTGGGGGTGTTGGTTGATGAGAAGCTCAACATGATCCAGCAATGTGCGCCTGCAGCCCAGAAAGCCAACCGTATCCTGGGCTGCATCAAAAGAAGTGTGACCAGCAGGTCGAGGGAGGTGATTCTCCCCCTCTACTCTCATGAGACCCCACCTGGGGTTCAGCTCTGGGGCCCCCAACGTAAGAAGGACATGGACCTTGTTGGAGCAAGTCCAGAGGAGGGCTACGAAGATGATCAGAGGGCTGGAACACCTCTCCTATGAAGAGAGGCTGAGAGAGTTGGGGTTGTTCAGCCTGGAGAAGAGAAGGCTCCAGGGAGACCTTATAGCACCCTTGCAGTACCTATGAGAAAGCTGGAGAGGGACTTTTTACAAGGGCATGTAGTGATAGAACAGGGGTAATGGCTTTAAACTGAAAGAGGGTAGATTGAGATTAGATATAAGGAAGAAATTCTCCACTATGAGGGTGGTGAGGCACTGGAACAGGTAGCCCAGAGAAGTTGTGGATGCCCCCTCCCTGGAAATGTTCAAGGCCAAGTTGCATGGGGCTTTGACCAACCTGGTGTAGTGGAAGGTGTCCCTGCCCATGGCAGGGGGGTTGGAACAAGATGATCTTTAAGGCCCCTTCCAACCCAAACCATACGATGATTCTATGAATAATTACGTGGCAGATCTTACTCATGTCGCTATGAGTAAGCAACAATATAAATTCATTTGACCTATTTTAGAAGTTTACCTTAGAATGAGAGAAACTTGGATATTAGAAGGCCTGTTTCTGTAAAATTGATGAGCTCAAATGTACCTGACAGTGAAAAACTAAAGTTAGAATAATCCTATCCGATATACTTGAGAGAATCTTACCAGGA